TGCTTGCTGTGAGCATGGCAAGTGAGGAGGAGGAGGTGCTGAAGTTGAATTTCTTCCTCCTGGGCCTTGCCCTGGTCAGTGGCCACTCTGCCCAGGAGACGGAGGGCCCGAAGACAATTAGGCCTTTGTGCCCACTGGCCAATGGGAGAGTCTGTGTGGGGAATGATACAGTATCAAGGCAGAGGGCTGAGTCAGTCTCCAATGTGCCCCGCCTTTTCAGCTTGGCAACCTTGACTTTGAGCCAGACACATACGGGCTGCTTTTGAGCATTTTAATACATAATCCTCAAACCAAAGGGGTCAGCCTACCCAGTTCCTGCCTCCAGAGACTTGGAGTAGCCTAGAGCTAGGCTCAGCCTAGGCCTGCAGCTGGGAGATCAGGGCCCTGGGCCTACCTGTCTACCCTGTGACCTTGGACTCTGTGAGCCTCAGTTTCGCCAGCTATATAAGGAGTATGTGGGATTGAATAGGACCTAAGGACCTCATGGTCTCTAATCTTTGAAGGAACAGGAGGGATTCAATTTGAGCCTCAAGGGTGGGTGGGCTTGGGGCAGATGGAGGAAGAGAGGCAGCCTCAGCCAGGAGCATAACAGGCAGTGATGGAGAGTGTAGGGCCTGGAGACGAGCTACTTGTGTGGATTTCTGGCCTCACCACGGTAGCACCTTGAGTGAGTTATTATGAGTTTATAGAATCTCTGAGTCTTTGTTTCCTCATCTATACAATGGGAATGATAATTGTGCCTACCTCACAGGGTTGTTGTGGAGATTCCCAGTAAATGAGATAATGGAAATAAAGCGCTTTGCCCAGTGACTGTTCAGTAAACATCGGATATTATGGTCTCTCTTCCCAGTTCAGAGTCATGACTGTTCCAATGGGACCTGCTTCCCCACAGGCCCTCAAGTCCCCACTTGCAAAATTCATTGAGTCTTCTTCCTGCAAGGCCTCTCTTAAGCTTTATGACCTGGAGATTTGAACCACAGAGATCCTGACACTGCTGTGCAAGGCCTTAGGGGATGTTTCTTGGCCCTGCTTTGATTTATTTAACTTCGTGTTTGGTTACTTTCCTTCTTGCTGGAAGCCAAATCAACACAGCCTCCCTAATTCATTTCTAGAATTCAAACCTGTTGCTCTCTCCAGGTGTTCCTGCCCGTGCATTGGAACACTGGTTGCCCATCTGGCCCCAGTCCAGCTCCCAGAGATGGTGGTTCAGGTGACAGAGGCTTTGGAGGTTCTCTGTGGGACCAAGAATCCAGCTCTGAGCCAGAGATCAGGAGACCTGGTTTTGAAACCCAGCTCTGGCAGGTGATTAAGGCCTTAGTTTCCTCAGATCTTAGAACAGTATTGGTTCTAATACATACCCTGACTCCTCACAGGACTGCTCATTCACTAAGATATTAGAGGACGAAATGCTTTGGAAAGGCTAAAAGGGTGTAAAAAAATACTAAGAATAAAGAAGAGGAAAAGGAAGAAAAACAGGACGAAAAGAATAAAATCCTCTAATGGGTAGTTCTAGCATACTTTCAGTTACTTGAATAAGCCAAGTTCTCCCCACCTCAGGACCGTGGGGCTTCTCCCCTAGCCTATAATACCCTTTCTCCAGTTCTTCTCACTGACTGCTTCTTATCATTCAACATTTTTTTCAAATTTTACTTCCTCTAAAACACCTCCCCTGACAACCCTAACTGAGGTAGCCCCTTCTTACTCTCTCATGTCACTCTGTTCATTTTATTTATAGAACTTATCACAACTTGGAACTACTTTATTGCCTGCCTCCAACAACTAGATTGTAAATTGCATGAAGGCAGTCTTTGACGTACTTATTGCTATACAGGTAGTGTCTGATGCAAGGTACGGTAAAGACTGGTTGAATGAAGGAATGAATCGATGAGTTAGCTAATGTTCTGGAAGGTGTAGGGAGTCTAGGTGTCATGCCTATGGCGGCATTCCCAAGGCATGGGGCAGTAAAGCATCCTTGAGTTCTAAGGCTATGGCTGTGGTGCTAGGCCAGGAAGAGCAGGCTCAAGGTAATGGCTGGATGCCTAAGAGAGCAGAGTTGGAGAGTGACTAGAGGGGTGGTGGGCAGGCAGCAGGGACCCTCATAGATTGACTTTTCATTTTGCAAGATGGAAAGCTGATCAACCTGCTGTTGAATCAGCAACCTACTTGATTAAGGGGAGGGCTGCCAAGTGGCTGTGTAGTCTCCAGTCCTCAAATGCCAGAGCTGGAGGGGAACTTAGGAATGGGGGGAGGGGCAGTAGAGTAGCTAAGCATTGGCTCTGATGCATCTTTAACCTGGGTTTGAATTCCTATCTGCCGTGTACTTAGTACATGAGCTTGGGCAAATTATTTATCCAAGCTTCATTTTCCACATCTATACAATGGAGATAATGATAGTTCTTACTTCACAAGGATCAAATCAGTAAATACACGCAAAAGGCTTAGCTCAGTGCTTGGCACATTAAAAACAAAAAAACTGTTGCCTTCAAGTTAATTCCCATTTCGTGGTGGCCTCATACATTATAAAGTAGAACTGCTCTATAGGGTCTTCTGTACTGTAATCTTTATGGAAGCAAATCATCAGGCCTTTCTTCCTCAATGCTGCTGGATGGGTTTGAACTGCCAATCTTTTTTTTTTTTTTAGGGTAATAGTCAGTTGCGAACTGTTCCACCCAGAGACCTGCTTGGCACATAGTAGGTGTTTAATAAGTGCTGGTTCATATGACTACTACAGCATTATGCTCTCCGATCCATTTTACAAATGGAAAAGGTGAAGCTCAGATGGGGGGCAGCGATGAGCCCAAAGTCACTCAGTGGCAGAGCAGGGACTAGCACCCAGGTCTGCCATACCTGGCCCTGAGTGTGCCTCTCTCCCTCCCTATAGAGCCCTTGGTGGTATCAGGAGGACCAGCTTTAGTTCAAGTGGTCTCCCTTGCTAGGGCAGAGTCGTCCTTGCTTCAGAGCCTCCTGCTCCCCTAGGATGCTCTTATCCCTGGATATAAAACTTGTCCAGTTTTCTTTCTCTGAGAGATCCCGGCTCAGAATCTCCCCATAGGGGCCTAGGGGTAGCCTCAGGGTGAGATCTCTTTTAGAGGTTCAGTCTGAGCACAATCAGCTTTCCAATTCCTGAACCAAAGCTCACATGGGAACCCCCGCCAAAGACTGTGGATGGTTCCATTGGCTAATCCTCATAAAATCATCATCTTAGTTTATGAGGAAAACAAAAAATTAAAGTTAATTTTAGTCCTCATGATGTCTGGGAGCTATAGCAACCAATCCTATAAAAATATATGTATGTCCAGATGGCAAATAGATACCTGGGACTCAGCTAGTACCCTGTGTTGACCAACTGAGGCAGAGCATCAGCTTTTGTTTTTTGGACCAAGAAGCCTTGGGAATCATCTAGAGAAGACTTTTCTTAGACTACTGGCCCCTTTGAGAAGCCATGGACTTTGCAGAAAAACGCACAGACACTCAAACATTTACATTTGACTTCAGTAGATTCAAGGACCTCTTGAAGACTAGTGTTAAGCATTATTCCAGGCCAGAACTCTATTAAAAGACAACTCTCTCAGTTTTCAGATGGGTAAACAGAGATCCATTTATTCACTGAAACAAACACTGATTGAGAGCTAACTCTGTGCTGAGCACTGTTCCAGGCACTTGAACACTGCAGAGAACAAGACACGTGAAGCCCCTGCTCTCATGGAGCTTCCATCTGGTGGTGGAGGCAAATCATTTCTGAGAGTGACAGGTCTATGAAGGAACAGTGTAAGAGGATGAATTGTGCCTGGGAGAGAGGCAAGGAAACTGATTCAAGTTGGTGGTCACAGGGAGGGTCTCTCTGAGGAGGTGACATTGGAATAGAGACCTGAAGGATGAGAAAGATTGGGGCAGAGGAAAATCACATGGAGGGGTGTCCCTGGCAGAGGTAAAAGCAAGTGCAAAGGCCCTGGGGTGGGAGAAACTTTGCGGTAGCTGTGGAACTGAAAGGAGGCCGGTGTGGCTGGAGCACAGTAAGCAAGAAAAGCAGTAGAAGGAGAGGATAGCTTGAGAAGCAGGAGATAATCATGTAGAAGTTTATCACAGGATGTTTTTCTGCCTTCTCTCTTTCCATGTTATTCAAACCCAATTCATCCTTAAGGCCCATCACTTTGAGGAAGCCTTCTCTGCCTGCTGTAGCCAAAAGAGCTCTTTTGCTACTCTGAACCCCTGGGATAAGCTTTAGAGTTCATGCCACTTCTATGAATGAGAGCATGTATATCGTGCTGGAAGATAAGCCCCCTAGGTTGGAAGGCAACGATGAACTCCAGCAGGCCAGTGATCATGAAGATGGCACAGGACCAGGGAGCGTTTCATTCTGTTCTACATTAGTTGGACCAACCCAAAGGCAACTAACAACAAAAACAACAAAACATCGGGTATTGTTACTACTATGATTATATCAATATCACCAATCACCGTACCTGTTCTATACTGATGACACAGGTCCCCCAGCTAGAAGTCTACCCCCATATGTCTACAAGCAGTGCAAGACGAGTTAGAGTGTTTTGTGTTTTCTTATGAAACCACACCCCAAATCATCAACAGTTATGCCACCAGTGGCAGCATGTCTTGTCTGTACAGAAGGCGAGGTCTGGCCTTGGCCTTTCTCATAGATTAAATATCTACAAACCCCTCCAGTTGCTTTGCCTCCTCAACATGGGCTGATAATAGGGAGGGCCCTTGTAAAGATCACTTGTCATAAAGTCAAGACACTGGGCCTGACTCTGCCTCTGGGAGTCAGGGTTGGGGGAGGGGGTATGTGGGGAATCCCTTGCTCTCTCTGGGCTTCAGTTCCCCTCTGAACGAGGAGGAGGCTGTTCTAGACGATTCCTACAGCCCTTCCATCCCTGGCATTCCGTAAGCAGCCCCAGAACAGATGAGGTAGGCGGGGCTGGGGAGGCTGGACAGCCCACCGCAATGAGAGGAAGAAAGAAATGAAAGAGACAGCTTTGGCTGTGGGGAGAAGGGGGAGGCAGGGGGAAGGAGGAGACAGAAGAGGAGGAGGGACTGCAGGGTGGAGGGGGAGATAGATCCAGCCCAGAGCTCTGAGTGATTTCCTGTTGCCGGGCTCTAAACCCCTTCACATTCCTGCAGACCTTCAGACTGCCCGGAGAGCATTCCGCCTGCCGCCTGGCCTGCCTGCCACCGAGGTATGCATGACCCTGCCCTGCCTTTCCCTTCTATAGTCACATCAACCCTACACCCTTGTCTGCTCCTCCAGCTTATGCGCAAGCGAGGGGAGCTGTGTTTAGAGGGCAGGGACTAGGGGGAATGTGCATCTCCTGGGGGCTCTATCTGCGCTTCCCTTAAGGACAAGGTCCTCGGACCTGCTATCTGCTGTTGCTTTTCAGAAGGCTGAGTCACGGTCTAACTTGGTCTCCCTTTCAGATTTGCAGAAAATGATCACACTGCGTCTTTGGAGGTTATTCTCTCTCTCCCTCTCCCTTGTTTCAGAGGCCGCCTGCCTGTCCTCTTTGCTCCCTTTGCAAATGTGACAGCCTCCTCCTATTCTGGGAATCTGATCTGGTCACAGCTGCGGCATGGACTGGCTGCCAGCTGGAGTCTGTCCTACTTCCTATTCCAGAAGAAACTTCCTAGACTCGATTCTTGGTCAGGGGCTCTGTTTTCCAAAAGGGACTTTGTGCAAATGATAAGTTGATCTCTCATAGGCAAAGGGGGGAGGTTTCACCTTTTAATCACCACCTCTGGAAAGGCTCCTGTTTCTGTCTGTCTGCCCCTTCTCAAGCACCACCCCCCGGACCCTGCACACTCAGGTGCCGTTCAGCCAGATACGGCACCATTAGACGTTCAGGCTTGTGCTAAGCATTGTTCCCGTCCTGGACTCCCTGGGATGGTAAACACAGGTACTCACCAGCAGTAGGACTTAGTTTATCTAGATCTGAAGAATCCCGACATCAGACATCACCCTACCAAGGCTCTAGGTCCTATGGGAGACAGGGTGCTGTGGAGAGTGTGCTAAAAAGGGGGAAGGGGAAGGCAAGACAGAGAAGTTTCCAGGGCAACCTTTCTGCACCTCATTGTTTTGGAAAGTGCAAACCCTACACTGGGCTGGTGTCCAGCCTGTTAGGGTGCTAGGTCTTCCTTTCTTCACCCTCTTTAACTCCGTTGACCAGTTGATGGGTGGACTTTCTGAGTGTCCTGAAGGACACCAGGGGGAAGGGGGCACTGTTTCAAGAGAGGGCAGAGAGGCACACATTTTCTTCAGGAAAGGACAGCATACTTGCATTTGAGAACATGTTTTTACCTGCAACTCTCCAGGGTTAAATTTTTGTACACCATGAGTGCTGGTGGTATAGTGAGAAGAAATCAGACTAGTGGACAGAATCCTGGGTTTAAGGCATTTTATGTGCGACCTCAGGTAAGCGTCTCCTCCGCACTTAGCTACCCTATCTGTAAAGTAAGAGGGCTGGACTCGATGGTGTCCACGGTGCCTGACGTCCTCAGAAATGTTCACAGGGAGGTCTCCTAAACTGGATTCCACAGACTGATGACTTCAAGTCGTCAGCAAGCACCTTAAAATTGTATGCACAGTCGTGTGTGTGTATGTGTGTGTGTGTGTGTGTGTGTGTCTGTGTCTGTGTGAGGGAGAGAGCTAGAGCTAGAGGTCACAGCTGCAACCTTACAGATAGTCTCAAGGGGATGCAGTATCTTCAAAATGGGCAGTGGACATGATGTGGGGGGATGCAATGTGGCAGAGTAGGGGTTCATAGGAAGATGAAAACTTTTGAAATGGGAGTGGTTGCAGGGAAGAGAGAGTTAACTCCCAGTCTTCAGCTGCCACATCGACAAAGCCTGGAGCACAGGGGGGGAGGGGAGATGGGGAGAGGAAGAGGTGGGAGGATGGGAGGGGTCCAGGAGAAGGAATCAACTTTTGAAACTTTCTCCAAGTTCCACCCACCAAAAGGCTCTTCTCTGCCACGACTCAGAGGAATGACTCACGCTCAGAGGAATGCGGGTTGCCACGGTAACCTTTTTTTCAGGGTCTCTGCCTGTTGGCTAGGAGGGAACGTTGGGAACACTCAGAGAACATCAGCCTCAGTCTGAATGTTCCCCACTCCACTCTGCCCCCAAATACAAGGGCAACGCCAAACTCTAGGGACCGGCCGCCTTCTGATCCCCCGGGATCCCAAGGCTACTGTGGAGCTGTGATAAGCTCCCGGACCGAGTGTTTGAAGACCTGGGTTTTAGTTCCATCTCTGCCTAGAAGGTGCCATTTGACCTTGAACTAATTGCTTCTCTTTTCTGAGCCTCAGTTTCCTCATAGGTTAAAATGTAGTAAAAGCAGCCAGCTCAAAGTGATATTGTGTGGATGAAATGGGATAATGTACAGGGAAGCACTTTGTAAGCTGTGGCAAGGTGCCTCAAGCAATGGATGTTTAGAACTGATAGCTTATGGCACCCAAAGAGTTGGTGATATCATTCCCAGCTTTTTTTCTCTGGCACGTCCATCATCTTGGGGTTTGTATAGAACTTTAATGCCCTAAAAGTGCTGACAGGCAGGCAGATTTAAAAAATACATTATTGTTTAAATTCAGTTTGATTTGGGGACTTTTGGTTAAGACCTTGGCTGTTAACCAAAAGGTCGGCCATTCGAATGCACCAGCCGCTCCTTGGAAACCCTATGGGGCAGTTGTACTCTGTCCTGTAGGGTTGCTATGAATCTGAATTGACTCAAAGGCATTGGGTTTGGTTTTAGTGCATTTCCCAACAGTGTTGTATCCTCCAGTGTGGAAAAAGCATTGGCCAAGGGTGCCAGCTGAAGGGGGCTCTAACTCACAGTGTGGACATAAAGGAAGACCATTCACTTCTCTGGCCTCAGTTTCCCAATCTGTTAAATGAAGGCTCTAAACTAGATGGGCTCCAGGAAACCTTCCAGCTCTGAAGTTTTGTAGACCTAAATCCCAGATGCGGACTTCATTGGAAGCAATAGCTGGCCTATATTTTTATCCCCTCCCCCTTCTCTCAGTTGACAAAGAAACAGAGAGGAGGGGCTCTGAGATCTTGGATTGCATAACAACAACAACAAAAACCCAAACCCTCTGCCTTTGAGTTGATTCTGACTCATAGCGACCCTGCAGAACAGAGTAGAACTGCCCCGTAGGGTTTCCAAGGCCGTAAATCTTTACGGGGGAAGCAGACTGCCGGGAAGCAGACTGCCGTATCTACCCGCCCCCGCCCCACCGTGGAGCAGCTGGTGGGTTCAAACTGCTGACCTTTCAGTTAGCAGCCAAGCGCTTTAGCCACTGCGCCACCAGTTTGTATAACAATCTTGCTAAAATCTTTACTATCGTTAGAGACTTGTCAACAAATACCATGGCTGGGGGTTGCTATTCACTAAAGCAGGTTTCCGTGCTGAAAATTAAATAGGTAAGCATGGTGGAGGAAAGAACTGAGAATCTGAGGTAAATGGTGGAATATTTGGCTTTTGAGGTTATTTAGATAGAAAAACAGGGATGGACACAAACCCACAGGGATACAGAGTACAAACATTGATTTTGCCAACAGGTGCCCACTAGCACAGCTAAAAATAAATGCATTAACAAGTGCAGACACAGAAAGCCATCCACTCACATGCCTCTCCCTGAGCCGTACCTTGACCTATAGACATAGGCAAGTTCCGGATGGATACTTATTTTGATGCATATGCCAACGCTGCCCTCACATACACTGGCCAAAACAGATACTGAGTCAGGTGTCCACACACAGACACATACACAGCACTACGCAGAGGTTCTCATGGTTGTACATAACTGATACAGACACACAATCAAACGTGCAAACACAAACTGCCATTCATAGTCACACACAGGTATGCACGGTCAGATGTAATTACAGATCATCACAAGGAGACAGGTGTGTAACAGACACACTGACAGACCACCCGTTATATTTCACAGAGAAACTGAGGCTTGGAAAGGGAGATAACTTACCAAAGACACACAGTAAGCTGGTGTCTGAGCCAAACTTCCAGATGCTCACTTGCTTCTTTTTTTTTTCACGTGATCAGTGTGGAATCGTGCACACATACCTCCCTCTACAGGCTACAAGCCCCGTGGATAATAACTAATGAGCTGTACTTTCTCTTCCATGATGGCCCAGCCCAGCCCACATGGCTTTGTCATTAAGCCCAAAGATCAGCAGTATCTGGCTATTAGGTAGCTGCTTATTTACTTCCTGCTGGCTGCCTGTCTGTCTCTGTCTTAAAAGGAGGGAAGGAAAGGCTGGAGCTGAGCTTTCAGCCCACCCTGGGGATTAATGAAGCCACTTTTTCTCTACAGCACAGAGCCTGGGTTTGATCTTCCTCTTTCTCGCCCTAATCCCGATGCTGAACCAGGGCTACCTGGGCCGAGCAGGGCCAAGGCCAGCAAATGTGACTGGACAGAATTATTTAGAAAAGTAGCCTCCTCCTCATCCAGGAAGAGATGTCTTCTACAGGAAATTAGCTCTGCCCTCACCCAGCAAGCCACAGAGCTTGATGTCTGTTGGGAAAATATGGATGGAGACACCAACTCTTGCTAGAGCTGTGTTCTTTCAGAGTCCTCTCATTTGAGGATCCCGCTGTGTCATTTTGTGTTAGACATGACATTGAGATTCCAGACTGATAGGATTTAAAAAAAAAATAAATGAACATATGGAGGTTTGGCTCAGACACCAGCTTGCTCTGTGATCTCGAGTGAGTTTTTTTCCTCTCTGAGCCTCAATTTCTCTATCTGTAAACTAAGAGGCATGGCAAAGAGTTTTCACCTGGCTTGCTAACACCAATCTATTGGTAGTGACTGCCAGAAGAACTATGTTTAGGATTCTGAAGCCACCCCTGGACTCTGGGGGAAAAGGGCATACGATTGATTAGTAATGTCTGTCACATGCACAGGAGGGGCAGATGGAGGCGTATGTGCCACATATTTGCTATCTTTGGCATCTCTTGGGCCTTTCCAGATGTGACAGCCTACACACTTTGATGTTATTTCTCATCCCCTCCATTTGTGGTCATCCTTGATGTAGCAATGGCCCTTAGAGAGAGCCAAGGAGGAGAGCCTGAGCTCCACCCACAGCCTCTCTTAACCAGGGTGAAACGTGGCATCTTAGATGCATTTATGGAATCTCAGTCAGGCTGGTTCCAGCTCCAAAC